AGGCTTTTTGGATACGCGCTAAAGGTCCAAAAATGAACAAGAAAGACGAGTGTCTCGCCATTACAAACGAGCTCGCCCCGTTCGTTGACCTGTGTGGGCTTCAATCGCCATCGGCTTCAGGTCGAGGGGCTGGGTCATCTGAAGCCACACACAGTTAGTCAGTTTAGCGGTGGTCCTCTACAAAACCTACCGTATGGTCTAAGGTGAGTTCTTGTGTTTTGGATTGGCGATACCTTCCTAGACTACGAACTATTTCTAAGTTTGAAATGATTTATGAGGATTGAATCACTGATCTTCAACTTCCAGGCTCTGACGAAGGCGACTAGCCGAAACGTAAGCCCAATAAAGTGATTTATCACCTTGGTTGTGGCTTCAAGAAATCATCATTGAAGATAATCTACGGATCATAAAAAATGCCAAAATCATACCGAAGTACTGGAAAACACACGGGTACCTGATAACAAATAATATGACTGACAACCTAGCTGAGTGTGAGGGCCGAACCAGACTTCTGGACGAAATAGGCACGGTCGAGCATGTGTGATAGCATATGTTCGGTTACCCAAGTTCAAGGCTATTCTCTCTTGGAAATCGCCGGGTAGGACCCCACTCTTTGCGGCCACTCATTGAATTCTTTCAGGGGAAACTTACTGTGTAAATTGAAAAAGATCAAATCCCCATTTATTGTTCTACATCCTTCAATTGCCGCTAGGTATTCATCATTCACGAGACCTCCACTGCAGACCGTTTCTAAAAAATGAAGTTCCTTTTGCAAAGGCGGACTTTACAGCAATGGTCACCACTATTTTCAAGTGCACACTGAGTTTGAAAGCATTACACGCTGATGATGTTAGCGGAGTCAGGCCTACGACACCAGCGTCACAGTCTACCTTCCCCGACGAAACGTCTTCTCCTGCTAAGTTAGTAAAGAAGAGGAAGACGTCAACAAGCAAGGCTCAGTGCTAGGCCTGTCCCCACGCGTACACACGGCGCAAATTGTGCCTGCACGCCGGAGAAAAATCGACACGTACCACAGTTTCTACTCTGGTAAACAAGTAGCCCTTTGAATTTCAATCTTAGACGTTGTGGGTCACGGATGCAAAGTTTCGAGTTGTCGGCTATTTCTGTAAACATTCAAAATATTCGCGTACATACTTGAAAGATACGCGTTTACACTTTCGGCGCAGTTTGGCGACAAGAGCCATTTTGCACTTTCGCTGCTTCACTAATTCCGGTTTTCAAGTCCACTGAGACCTGCAAACTCATGCACACCTGAAGCAAGCTGGTCTAGCCAAAAATCAAACCTGTCAACTCTTGTAAGTTCACGAAATTGCTTTCTAGATGGGTCGACACTTCGATGGGAAGTAGCAAAAATGCGAAATGCCCCCGCCGGACTGCCCCCACTTTTCTGCTCTGTCGCGAAAGCCCTATTAACACCAAAAAGTGGCGCATTACTTGAGAGCCAATACCCTTTCCCTCTCGCGAGGCGTAAAACTTACTCGAAGACCCTACAGCTATTCAGGTGTAGAGACCCTTTATCCTTTTGATGGAAGCAAACTAAAGTGTAGAGTGCCGAAAAGTAACTGGTTCCAGCTGCTGGGTCAGTGGTAGCCGACATGTCCTTCTGAGTGACTACAAGAATGTGAGTGGTGTCGCGGACGGGTGCACCACTCCCGTATGTGCGATCGACATCGGCGGTCAACGCACTCAAACTCCCGGTGCGCCGACTAACCAATCGGACGCCCCATCGGGCCCACTACACTCCTCCTGCGCCCCCTAACAGGAGGAGCGGACCACCCCTCGGGGACCATGGGGTCTTACCGCCTATTCAACCGCCCCAACAGCTAGACGACAAGGACCAGGGTACCCAACCCTACCTACACATGGTCTAATACGCATTACCCACGCAATACACAACACGCACATGTACAAAACGATGGCAATACCAACATATTGAACACAACTACACATTGTGAATAAACATATTTACTACGCGAAATACTCACCACAATGAAATAGATATTCTCTCCCTGGTCGCCGTCTCACGGGTTTCGTTCCATAGCTGACTGCGCAATAGGCCCCCTGGGCTCTGCCCCTCCGAGTACGCAATAGGCCTGCTAAGGCTTCATCCCCTTGGACGCAATAACGTAATATGCCCCCATCTTGCCGACGACACTCCTCGTTGCTCCATGCGATCGTCGATGTCCTCGTCGGGGCTGGAGTGGAGGCTGCTCCCAGTCGGGGAGCAGGGGATGGACATCGGCCGGCTCATGGCTGGCGCTCGAGCTGCCTCCAGCTTCGGAGTGGACTTCACCCCTCTACCTTCGGCGCTGTCACCGCGTTACCCGGTGAAAACCGACCGGCACCGGCTGCCAGCCGTCGAACGTACTATACTAGCCACGACCGCAGGGGGCGGAGCCACGGCGCACGTGAATCGCACGCCGTGGGAACCGGGCACAGATGGGCCGGGGCGCGAGGTGCGCCCAACGGCGACCGTCGCATCCGCGACAATATTGGACTATTTCAGTTTCCTCTTTTCCGAGAATCGTTCTTTTGCACTCTGATCGATTGCTATTCATCACACATGCACTTCATATCTATCAGATGGGGAGGTGGTGGCTGGGTGTTTCACCCAAAAACGGCTATGACTGCCTTTTGGTGAGATATTGTCGCTTTAATTCATGTCACTGTATGGCAAAGGACAAGATTACATTCGTTTAGAGAGAAAATATATTCCAAGAAAAACGCTTGCAACGCCATGTTCAAATGAAGTACGCAATCACGCCCCCTTAATTTCCGGGATATGGAATGTATTTACCCACACTGAATTCCCGATTTCCTATGCGATCACGGGGGAGGATTTGCACTTTCGCTCCTTCTTTTGTTGTGTTCACTGCGTTGGAAGAGATGACGAGTATTTTCTATAAGAATTTAGCAGAAGTTTCTGTAGAATATTTCACAAGCCTTTACTTGATGGCTCGACACGATAATGGGAAGCAGTGCAGAGGCACAAGTGCGATAGGCCTCCCCCGCCGCCTAACTGCGCGTGATTTCTTATGTAGCATAATTTCTACAGTAGAACTCTACTAACCATGAGCGCATTCAGGGTGGTAGGGAGATTGGATAAAAGTTGAGATGCCATCCAGAAAATCGATGTTTGAAATCTTGGTATTCACAATGTGCAGACACCCTTGGAACTGCAAGCTCATATTGGACACTCGGGCGACATTGCTGACGTTCCTGTTGACAGAAAGGACACCAAATACTTTCTCGCATCCAGCCAACTCAGCAAAGGAACTTAGTGGGAGCGGTGGAGCACATTCTGGAAATTTCGAACAGAAATTTGTAAATATTTGTTGACTTTCAACTAATTTGTGGTGAGAGTGCAGACCTCCAAACTCCTGCAGATCAATCGCTTCACGGCGGAACTTGTTCTTCATTCTATCAATTGCAGTCTTTTTGAGCATCGGATTGCCCCGAATAACTACGCTTTTTGCTCTAGACGTTTCCATGAAATAGTCACTGAACTTTATCTCTTTAAGGTTGAGGTTTTGTGCAACCGCAAGCCGTGGACCTGAAACAGCGGTATTTGCACATTCTTGGCAAAGCGCCGTACACCTGCAGTCTGAAAGCAATGAACGTTCTGGCACTTTGCCAACGAATGTTGAACAACGGTAGGACCTTGGTCATGGCATCAACTATTTAACAGCATAAGGACTAAAGTAAGAATGCTGCTGAAAAGCATATTCCAACATTAGGTGTAGCATCTCTCGAGAGATGCTGGTTTCACTACGATTACCGTTAGAAATTGCCACTGTGCGCTTTGGCGCTACCGACTGAAGGCGGACGTGGGCTGACAAACGGCTAATTCTATCAAATCGCAGGTTGGGAGCACCTGTCAGTGTGTGTCGCTCCCTGCGACGTCGCAGCGGCACCGCGCCGAGCGCGTCACCGGTGAGTTTTTCTCTGTCCCCGGAAAAGGTTGGACCAGTTCCGTTGTGCTCTGGTTCACGGCAGTGAATGATGCCATTGGTCTTCCGGCTGAATTTCGCTCTCGGTAAACAGCATGTACTTCGAGGTGCATTTTTAGTGCGATATTGTGCACACATTATTTAAGTTTGAGCATTGCTTAGTGCAGTTCGGCGACGAGGGGGAGGGAGCATTTTGCACTTTCGTTGCTTCACTAGTTCCGGTTTACAAGTCTCACTCTAGTGAAACCTGTGAAGCCTGGTGAACTGGAGCACGCTCGTCAAGCCACCATGGTAAAACCTGTAATCTCGAGAAGCTGTTCAGAGGGTGGACGCGGAT